ATCTGAAAATATATAAAAAAATTAAACGGGCCGTGCCGTGCCGGCCCGCGTGCCCAGGCTCCAGGCCCAGGCACGGCCCAAGGCGTGCCGCGTGCCGGGCACGGTCCGTTTAGCCCGTGCCGTGCCTGGCCCATCGGGTTGGCCTGTTTAGCCCGGCCCGTTTGGCCAGCTATAGTCCCGATACCTCCTCCTCCTCCATAGCAGCAGCTATGCACCTTTTATCGGTGAGGCCCACCGGCCCATATTTACCTGAAATAACCGGCCCGAGCTCGCTTACACACCCGATGCAGTAAATGGACCAGGCCCAACCACGTAATTCTGCAGCAAACGCTTTGGTCCATCTATGAAGAAGAGCAACCGCAAATGCAAGATGGTGTGAATGGTTCCCAGAGCTCACCGTTTTAAACGGCATTCCTCGTCACTCTGACCATCAGCCCGTCATTGTCTGCACCCAGGGAACCACGCGAAGGCCGGGGGGAGGAGATCGGGGGTTCCGGTTTGAGGCATGGTGGCTCCAGGAAGAAGGATGCAGCGCTGAGGTGCAGGGAGCGTGGGAGGAAGGATGCTTGATGGACAGAGGGGATGTCGCGTCGGCAATGAAAAACGTAGCCGGGAGGATGAGAAAATGGGGCAAGGAGGTGGCGGGCGAGCTTGAGAATAGGGTTAGAGACACTCAGAGGGAGTTGGAGAGGTGCATGAGGGCGCCGGTCTCGGCTGCAAAAGTTAGGGAGGAAGGAAGACTGCGATGCCTACTGGAGGAGCTAGAAGGGAAGAAAAACACCAAAGCAAAGCAGCGCTCTCATGTTACTTGGCTGCGGGATGGGAATAGAAGTACGAAGTATTTCATGGCGGTGGCCTCAGCCAGGAGGAAGGCCAACAAGATCAAAAAACTGGTGAAGGAGGATGGATCGGAGGTGAAGGAAGGAGACGAGCTTAACACCTACGTTTGCTCTTTTTTTCAAGACCTTTTCACTTCTTCCGGAGTCAACCGTCTTCCTGAGCTTATTGACAGAGTACAGGCCCGCGTGACTCCGGCTATGCGGGCGGTCCTGGAAGCGGAAGCTACCCGAGAGGAAGTGAAGGCCGCTCTTGATCATATTGGAGATCTGAAGGCGCCTGGACCGGATGGCATGCCCTTGGTGGTTTACAAACAACACTGGCATTTTATGGGAGATAAGATTGTTGACGAAGTCATTGCAGTTCTTAATGGTGGTGCCATGCCGGACGGATGGAATGATACTACGGTTGTGCTTATTCCAAAGGTCAAAAGTCCTAGTAGAATTAAGGACCTCCGGCCGATCAGCTTATGCAATGTGATATACAAGTTGGTTTCCGAGGTTATTGCTAATCGCCTCAAACTCATTCTTCCAGAGATTATATCCTCAAACCAAAGTGCCTTCGTTCCAGGGAGAATGATAACTGACAACGTCCTGGTGGCGTATGAGGTGTCGCACTACCTTCTGAACAAGAAAAGAGGCAAGGAAGGAATCGCAGCAGTAAAAGCGGACATGAGCAAAGCTTACGATAGAGTGGAGTGGGAATTCCTTAGAGCTATGCTGACTAAGATGGGGTTCGGGCCGAGTTGGATCGATCTGGTCATGAACTGCGTCTGCACGGTCCGGTATCAGATCAAGGTCAACGGGGTTCTGACTGGGCAGTTTTCACCTTCTCGAGGCCTTCGGCAGGGGGATCCAGCTTCGCCTTACCTGTTTGTCATCTGTGCGGAGGGGCTCTCGGCCCTGCTACATGATGCGGAGGCGACGGGGAGGATCAGTGGTGTCCGAATCTGTCAGGGGGCAGCGGTGCTGTCACACTTGCTATTCGCGGATGATTCTCTGTTGATGTTGAAAGTGAAGCAAGAGGAGGCCCTGGAGCTTAGGCGGCTGCTGGATCTGTATGAGGCGTGTTCGGGTCAATGCATAAACCTTGAGAAGTCGGCCGTCATGTTCAGCCCGAACACAGATGAGGGGCTTAAAGCCATTGTGAAGAACGCCTTGCAAATCCACAGTGAACAATGGAATGAGAAGTATTTGGGGTTGCCGGTTCATGTTGGCAAGTCGAGGAAAAAAGCTTCAGTTTTGTCAAGGGAGCCATGGCTGGACGGGTGTACGGGTGGAAAGAATGCCTCATCGCAAAGGCTGGTAAGGAGACCCTTGTCACTACAGTTGCCCAGGCGATTCCCACCTTCGCCATGTCATGCTTCTACCTAACTAAAACTTTCTGTGAAGAACTCAGTTCGTTAGTCGGAAATTACTGGTGGAGCCAACAAGACAAGGAGAACCCCATTCACTGGATAGGATGGAAAACTCTCACGCTTCCGAAGGCTCGGGGAGGGCTTGGCTTCCGGGACATGCACGGGTTTAACATTGCTATGCTGTCGAGGCAGATTTGGAGGCTGCTCCAGAACCCGGACTCCCTATGCGCACAGGTGTTACGAGCCCGTTACTACCCCAACGATCAACTGCTGGAGGCCGCCCCGCGTGATGGTATCTCTTACTCCTGGCGTAGTTTGCTGCATGGGTTGCAACTCTTTCGGGAAGGCTACATTTGGAGGATTGGGGATGGCACCCAAGTCAATATCTTGAATGACCCGTGGATACCGCGGCCCTGGTCACGGCGTGTTTTAACAGCTCGAGGGCAGAACCTACTTGAAAAAGTGTGTGAGCTTATTGATCCTTCCACTGGGCACTGGGATGAACAACTGGTTCGTGATACCTTTTGGGCTGACGATGCCAAGTATATCCTTCAAATCCCGCTGAGAGAAGGGGCCCAATATTTCATTGCTTGGTAGTATGATAGTAAGGGAACTCATTCTGTCAAATCAGCCTATAAGCTCTACTGCCAACTGGAGAAAACAAGGTCGAATGGGGATGTGGGTGCAAGCACTACGAACCCAGGCTCTCTGAACAGAACGGAGGATGACTCGTGGAAGCGGATATGGAAACTACCTTGCCCAAAAACAGTCCAAATGTTCACTTGGAGAGTCAAGCATGAGTCCCTTGCCCTGCGGATGAATGTGGCTAGGAAAGGCATCCCTATAGCTGACACGAAATGCCTGTTTTGCGGCCGAGCTGACGAGGATGGGGCACATCTCTTCATAAAGTGCAAAACTGTCAAGGGTGTTTGGAGAGAGCTAGGAATGGAACTGGAACGAGAGGCGCTGGAAAGGATCACGTCCGTGCATGCAATGATGGACTTCTTGTGAGGGCTGGATGTAAAAAAGCGCCTTCTTGCTCTTACTTCTTGGTGGTTATGGTGGTCTAATCGCAACAAGCTCCGGTCGGGAGAATTGCCACTAACTGTCGAGGTGGTGGCCGGAAGGGCTCAGAGCAGCGTTCTGGAATTCTTGCACATTTATACTCCCACCGACCCCAAGCAGACACCGGAGAGATGGCGGCCTCCTGTCGATGGTGAGTACAAGATCAACGCCGATGGTTCCTTTGTCCCTGGACAACCCATGGCGGGCTGGGGCGTCGCCGTACGAGACGCGGAAGGCCACCTCCTGTGCGCTCGGGCGGGCTGTGTTGAGCATGTGGCCGATGCGTTTGCTGCGGAAGCCCGTGCTATGGCTCAAGCGATAATTGCTACATCTGAACTAGGAATGGTACGAGTCGAATTTGAAACGGACTCCCAGCTTCTCGCTGATGCTCTGGATCTGCGCACAGTGGACTCCTCCGCGTATTCTGCTGTGATTGAGGACATGAAATATCAACTTAAGCTCTGGTTCTCCAAGTTTAGTATTTCTGTTTGTAGTAGGAGTGCCAACTCGGTGGCACATAAACTCGCCAATCTTGGTCGAATGTGTGAGATGAACCACTATATGCAGTGGGACTCTGATGTACCAGCCCATGTGGGCGCCTGTGTCTCGGGCGATATGCCCAGCCACCGTTAAGTAATAAAGCATTGTTTGCTTTCAAAAAAAAAGAGCAGCCCCGACGGGCGGGAGCTCCTATGCGCCGCTCCTTGCGGCAAACAGTCGGCCGCCCGCACAGGAGTGCTCCGACTGGGCCGGCCCACGTATAGCGCAAAATAATCCCCAAAAAGAACTATAAGTGCAGCGGCTAGGGATCGAACTCACGCCAGACAGTTGATTACGCGAGATGCTAGCCACCACACCAACTGGGAGTTCGCCGTACTTTCCTGCGCGCATCACTTTTAATATACTGTGATAGTATAACGTACAGATTTGCAGCATCATATTTGTTGTAACGTACAGATTTTTTCAATTGTTGCACACATTTTAGAAAACACGAACAATTTTTTGGAAAATTTCAGATTTCAAAATAGTTTTTGAATTACATAAAAATAATTGGAATTACACGCAGTTTTTAAAATTTCAGAAGATTTTCGAGAAAGAAGAACAAATTTGTAAACATGTTCTTTTTAAATGACAAACTTTTCTGAAATGTTTCAAACATTTTCTGAAACGGAGAACAAATTTAAAGAACGAACATTTTTTAAATCTTGAGAACAAATTTTGAAACAGAGATCAAAT